GATTCAAAGGAATTCTTCTGTCACTGTGGGAAGAATAATTGTAATTGATCATTCTTAACGTCACACACTTCATTGTCCTCACTGTAAATCCAAGGTGTGTGACATCAAACTTATCTCTACGTGTTGAATATTAAACTCCGTGAACAAACTATAAATTTTAACACGCCTCGAAGTGAGTCAGAAATGACTACAAAGATCTATAGTTTGTGTATAGCATTGAACACGGTCACGGTGTGTTATTTTAACACACCTTCAATTTACAGTGTTTTTAAGGCTGAGCTAAAGTCAGAGAGGCGACCGATTCCCGTATCTAAATACATTGGATCGTAGGTTTCTAATTTCTCAGCGAATTTAGGTTTTTACTTGAGACTTTGGTCCCAAAATAAAGCTTGTTTTATGATGCAGTGCGCTAGATAGCAATTTCGATCATACAGCTTATTTTTTCAACTATAAAATAAAAAGAAAATTGAATAAATATGAATTGATTTGCCGCGCTTCAATTCCAAGATGGCCGCTACAAGGTTATAAAAAGAAATCGTGAATTATTTATTTTCTATCTCATTTCAGCTCCTAAATGTTGTCTGGCGCACTTCTTGCAACATTTCTAAGAATAAAAAAAAATAATTTCAGGTGATAAAATTGGATAATTACGAAGAAATTAGAAACCTACGATTTAGGATGATTATCATTGGAAATTAGTTCAAATAAGTCCGACTGATGGCAGCACTATGATTATAGTTGACTACAGTCATCCATATTGAAAAAATGCTCAATCCGTATCCAGAGCTGATGGTGCTCTACGTTTGGGTGAGTAATTTGTGTATGTGTGTGTACGGGTAATATATGTATGTGATGTAAACATAGTGTATCACTTTACAATGCCCTACACTTTGATGACTATTGCAGTTAAAATAAATGGCAATGATGATACTCATTTAACATTAATTAATATAATACCTGCAAATAACTTCAAATACATATATTCATCCATTATTATCATTTTTATTAGGTATAAATGTTAATAAGGAAGCTCAATTCCACGTCGGCGTATCCAAGTAGTGTAAAAACAAATACACATAAACTCAATACCGAGATTATGCTGGCCATGTGGTTAGAGCGTCAGAGTTCTATTTTGCCGGGCAGGGTTCGATCCCAGTCATAACCATTTTTTTTTTCCTACTTCATTCGTTAGATTAGCATGTAATTATAATATTGACATGCCATAATTAATCTATTATAACGATTTGATTTTTTTTTCTCTTTACTCATTGATTTTATTGACGCTAGGTCGAAAAATATTTAAACAGAGCCATAAACTTTTTTTTTGTATAAATACATTGATAATAGTCTGTGTTTAACAACTCATACATCTTCACATGTATTAATAATGTTATGTTATTAACATGTTATTAACAAGTTAATCATATTATTATTAACATTTAAAAGTAGTTCAAACAATCCGTAGCGAGTTCCGGCACTGCGCCGGTAAGCTCTACCCTCACTCTCTGTGCCCAGGCCTGCAGCTTATGATTTTCAAGCATATAAAATCGTATCGTAACCATAATAGCTCGGTGGTTAGAGCATCGTTCTTTTATTTTGCTGGGCAGGGTTCGATTCCAGTCATGTCAAAGTTTTTTTTTTTCTTTTTTATTTGTTAGATTTGCATGTAATTATAATATTAACATGCTAAAATGAATTCTTACTAACGATTTGATTTTTTTTTATCAATTGTTTATGTAATTCATCGACGCCGAGTCGGAAAACATATAAACAGGGTTATGAACACTTTTTTTACTATAGCTATAAGAACGTAGCTTTCTTTTAAGCAATTTAGAAATATTTAGAAGTAGTTGAAATAATCCACGGGGATTCCCGACACTCCGCCGGCAAGCTCTATCCCCACCCTCTGTACTCAAGCCTGCATTATACAATTTATAAACATAAACGTAATGTCAGAGACGAATTTTTTTTTTTTTTTTTAAAGTTAAATTTTATTTGTTCCAAATCCTTAATAATATCAGTATGAAAATTCACTTACAAAAATACTTAACAATAGAAGAAAATAAAGTTATACAAGCTATTAAAATAACAGATCTCCGTATAAACCTGTACGCTTTTGTAATTAACAAAAATATTATTTCAAACTGTAACAGATATAGTTACTTACTGTAACAACTAGTTAATATAAGCTCTAGAAATTTGCTAACAATGTAAAATATAGAGAAGATAAAATATATGACTGATAAAAAATTTTTCAAATCAGAGACGATGTGTTAGCTCTTTTCCTTTTTTTTTCATTGAAATTTTATATAAATACAATAATTGGTTGTTTATATAAGTTCAAAATCAATTCCTATTGTCTTTTAAAGACAACATTTTCTAAAAAAGAGAATTCATAGTAACTCGTTCCTCACGATCAGCTTATTTTCGGGAAAACAAGTTTTTTTCGTAATTAATTGGAAGAACAATTTAATCAAATATATGAATTAATTTACAAGTATAAAACTTGAAATTTACAACTCATTTTTGGCATGATGAAATTACAATTACATGCAATTTAAATAAAAAAAGAATTTTGCCTCAATCGGAATCGAACACCGTTTGGTAAAATAAATGTCATACTTTCTGACTACAGAGCCAGCATATTTTTTTTTCATTTGCTTTGTTTACGTTTAGATATCATAAGCTTCAGGCTTGGTAACAGAGGGTGGGGGATGTGCTTGCTCGTCAACTGTTCAAACTCGCAGTCTTCTTTAAAAAATAAGACAGAGATAGATAGATATATTCTCTGCTCTGTCTTGCTCAGAACAGATTATTCTGAAATTTGTAAATTTCTTGGTGCCCTAAGGCTCCTTTTTTGTAGTGCATCCCTGAAAATTATCATTTTTCGAACGATTTCCCTGTTACCCACTCAATTTCAATTGATATCGAGCTTCGGCCTTTCGCCGCACAACGCGAGGGCGTAAAGTCAACTCCGGAAAACTTTCTGACTTCAGCCCAGCCTTAATGCCTGGTCCATCAAAAACTTTGATACCATCCGAGCAATTATCGATGGAGTAGTTTTTTTTTCAAATAGAGATTCCACATCTAAATTAATTTAGAAAGTTTATGATTAAATACCCTTCTAGATACCCCTATAACAATAGACTATCCTCACTAAAACATTTTTGAACCTTAATTTAAATAATAACAAGAAAATGTAGTAACTGTACTAAAAAAGGGTTTATGGCCCGGTTTGAATGTCTTCTCCCTCAGCGTTCATTAATTAAAAGAATTATAAAACTTAAATTCTTATTAAGAATCAATTTCGGCTCATTAAATTTATAATTACATTTAATTTCAGTAAAGAAAAAAAAAGAAAAAAAAATTGGCCGAGATCGGGATTGAACTCTGCTCGGCAAAATAAATGTCTGGTACTTTTACTACAAAGCATATTTCCAATCAAACCTCCATGTTTATTCATCTTAAACTACATGCTTCGATCCGTAGATTTGGAATTGAGCTCGCTCGTTAATATTTATACCTAATAGAAATACTAATAATGAATAAATATATGTATTTTTAGTTATTTTCAGGTATTACATTAATTAATGTTCAATGAGTATCATCATATTCATTTATAATACTGAAATAGTCATCAAAGTGTAGGGCATTGTAGGGTGACACACTACATTAACATCACAACATGTATTACTTGTACACACACATATACAAATTACTCGCAAAAATGCAGGGCACCATCAGTTCTGGATACAGATTGAGGATTTTTTCAATATAGATGACTGAGGTCATCTGCGAACATAATGCTGTCACCTATTGTAATTTTTTCAAACTAATTTCCGGAAAAATCATCTGGAATACAGTTTTTCTAATTACTTCTAAATTATTCAATTTTACGCTATAAATTGATTTTTTTGACATTCAGATAGGTAGCGAGGACTGACGCAAACACGAATTTTGGGCGAAAACCGTATAAAAATAAAATAATTAGTGATTTTTCATCTGAATGATGTGGCTGCCATCTTGGAATTTAAGCGTAGCAAGTCAATTCATAATTTCTTCATTATTCTTTCTAATTTTTTCAATAAAAATATTCACTACATACAAAAAATTGTTGTTTACGTCAATCCGGCATTAATTTCTCTGTAATCTGGTACCTAATTTTATAGAAATAATAGTAAATTGGCGAAGAAATTAGAAATATCTCGATCCCATGTATTTGATAATTTTAATCAAATTTTAAACTGAATTTATCGATAAAACAACATGTTTATGGTTAAATTCAATACATTTAACATTATCATTAACGTACCGCTACATTTATTGATCTCACGCGCACTAAACCGAACGATATACACCTTCACTGCAACAAAAAAAATTGATTTTTTTATTGTCAAAATGCAAAAGAAATGTGTGCACATGAAAATAAAAGATCAATAACAGATAAAATAAATGTTCGATAAACAAATTTCAAGAAATGAAATGGAAACAACTAATATCGAAGATAAATAACATTTATTTTACTTCCATAATCAACGTAATAACATATAATTTAGATTCAACTTAAAGTATTCGCTTTTTGGATAGAATTAATTTATGTCAAATATGTTGTTCATTCATTATTCAACATATTTGACATGGAAATTAATAAAATTTTTTTTTTAAATTGTCTCTAATATTTATTCTTTGCTTTTTTCATCGTTTTCACGAAACGTAATTATTTTTAAAATTAAACGAAATTTTCAATCTGTAAAATATATGTATATTCATAAGTAGTCATTGCGAAAAGTTTTAAAACAATTGAAGCATTCAAATATTCATAAAGTTCTTACTGTTGTTTAAATATTTCATATAGTACAGAACTAGACTTTGTAAATTTGACTATATCGAAAACATGCCAAAAACTGTATTGAGAACTCGACAGTGCTGCTGTGGTGGTAAAATAGAGAATACGGCAGTAGAAATAATAAAATAGATATACTATAAAAACAGCAAGAATATACAAAGCTGATAATGAACTTCGATTTTAAAAATGTATAAACTCATATTCAATACAATTAATCTGTTAAAAGAAGAAACATAAAATAGTTGGAACATTAGTGAAAATAATTTTCATCATTCCGGTTAATAGAAAATTGTGCATAAAAATTGTATGTACTGTACCCGGCCTGGATTAGGGTAACAGTGAACTTATGTGATCAATTGCATTCATAAATTTTGTACAACATATCTATTACAAAAAAGACCATGTAAGTTTTGCTCTCCAAGAACACTCTATTATTCAATTTTTAGTCCCTATACTTATAACAATTGATATGAATGGTAATAATAATGCTTTCGGTATTGAATATAAACAAATTTATTCTATATTAATGATAAGCTGCAACGTTAGTTGATAGAGAAATAATTATTCACTCCCGTCATCATTTCGACATTCATATCATATTCCGTTTGAAATAAAGATTAACAGGCAACCTAAAACTATACCATTTCATAGATTTTGCAATGGCGGTCGTCAAACGTTTGTATGGAAATCGATGTTCATGTGAAATTTATTCATTTCTCAGAAAATACTTCTTCCAATTAATTAAAGTAAACAATTAGATAATATTTGTTACATAAAATATCTTTAAACGACTAAAAAGTACTAAAGAATAGAAATGTTTTATTTTCGACAATATTTAAAGTCTATACCTTTTTATCGTAGCTCGAAAACCTTTATTGCATTATTAAGAATAAAGTTGATAAATATTCAATTTTTTTTTATAATGACTGTCAATAATTGATAGCCAATCGAAAATTATTCGGAAAACAATTGTCCTTTTTTAGAGTTTAAAGAAATCGATACTATGCTTTATGTATGAAACTTGTGTGTAAAAACTACAATTTGTCGATAAAGATATGTTATTTATTTTGATTCTATGCTTAATTTGAATTTTGTATGATAATTAAACACTTTCATGGTAACCTAATTTGTTTAGCATAAAAAATTGGAATATAGATGATTTTGGTCGAAAAATGTTCCATTTCATGGCGGATTTATAAAAAATAAATAGAAGTAACTAAAACCAGTTTTATGGAAAACTTTTATAGATAGTTTTATAAATAGTGAAAACGCAAGAATTGTGTTAAATTAAAAAACTAATCTAAAAGAAACCGAAAAGAACAGTTTTTTTAGTTTTTACAGCTTAAAATAAAATCGATAAAGGACAGTTGATTTTCGTGATTAGTTAGCTAAACTCTTCAATATTAAGAGTTTTTGGACCATTGAAAATCTGAAAATAGAGAAATTTTATAATTTCGGTTTTAAAATGTACTATTTTTCGACGTATTTGTAAGAAACATTGGAGAAATGGCTAAATTTGAGGGTTTCAATAGTTTTACTTACAGTCAATTTTTAAATTCTACATGATGGCAATAAACACTCAAAAGAATGAATATTTGATTCTCGAAAAAATACAGTTTAATGAGTGCCAGATAATTATAATGATAGGTATGTGTAAACTGAATAGAAACTGAAAATAAAACTGATTTCCTCATGCTCGTTTAACACCCACTTGCCTTTTTTTTAATCGTTCATTCTTTCAACTGATTGACATTAAAAAATACTAACAACGAATTAAACATCACTTATTTTATTTTTACAAAAAAATACCTTCTATGGTAATGAAAGAAAAACTTAACATTCCGAAACTTTTAAAAATGTCGATTTGAAAATAAATCTTTTTTTTAAAAAGTTTTGTGGTCTTAACAAACATTGAATATTTTTTTCATAAACACAAAAATAATCAAGAACAAAAATTTCTTCTAAAACTATTAATTATTATCAAAATAATCTTTTACAATTATAAAAAAGTCACAGTGTCCCTGACAATGATTCTTTTATTTGAAAAAAAACAAATATTTAGTAATATACTTTAAAGTATTCTCTTCTTTCGAGCTACATTTGGGTATATTCGCTTTCGCTGTTCCTTAAACCCTCTCGATGTTTTGCGTATGAGCGCTAAAATATAAATCCACAAAATTCAGCGAATGATACAAATTTATGACTACCATTATCACTCAAACAATCATAAGCTTGCCAGCAGTCAGATATAATGGCAGTTTCTGATTTAATAATTCTTTCCATAACTTTTAACAGCACTTTTTTTGTCCAGTGTAATACTAGTTCCATAGAAAATGTTCTAGTAGAATCGTTTATAAAAATTCCTAGAATAAAATTGGAAAAATTTTTTTCATCCTCTCCAGATGGACATAAAAAAGTTTGCTCAAGACAGTTTTTACAATATTAGTAACGTCAGCCCCTACATAAAAGTGGAAGTTACGGAAAACGCGGTTTTGATTTTTTTTAAGGCAGAAAAACAGTTTTTATAAAAAAAAATGGGATAGCTATTTTGTAGAGTAGGAAAAATCCTATCCACCGATAGAATGTCTAAAAATTGTTTAAAAGTATAGATGCGCAAAATTGACAAAGAAAAAAAAACTTTTACAACAGTATAAAAAATCAAAAAAATTAATGGAGAATTCGATTCTCTACAAAAAATGCTTGTTACATTTTTTTCTAAAAAACTCACGGTTCTCGCTACGTAAGCAATGATAGGTCAAAAAATGCACTTTTCTAAATTCCAATTGTTGATAAACAATAGTGAAAATCATTTCTAAACAATAAAATTTGGTATAAATGCTCTTTTTGTTGACCTCTACGAGAAACCCTGGTCGAAAAATTTTTTCAAGATAAAGTAATGAAACTGTTACGTCTCAGTAACAGAATAGTCTTTTTTTCGAGTCAAGACCCAATCGTCCTCTACTCATCACGGGTATGGAGACCACGCAAAATATATTTTAGATGGAGAATCAAAGCAAAAAGAAAGGTTTTGAGTGCTTTACAAACACACTGGTGCATTTATTTTTCTCAAAGAAAGATAGAGAGTTGTTTTGATGATAGTCAATTCTTTATTCGATTTCTGTCATCTTTTTACTCACTAAATTGTTTTACAGCTTGGCTAACAGGTAGCAGAAGGTTATATACGAGTGGAAGGCTGCAGTTGCTTGATTTGGTTGACGCTTCGATTCTCGGCGTTGGTGCGGTGTCTTTCGGCGCTGTTGAGATGATTTTTGGTTTCATGGCTGTCTTGGTAAAAGGTTGTCGTTGCCTCGTTGGAAATCTTCGTTGATCACATTGTTTTATTTTCGCTCTACAGAATTTTCCCAACAGAGTAACCATACAATCTTCTGCTAGACATACGCAGCCATGTCCCTTTTGATGAAATGTAATATCAGGCATAGAACCTTGCTCACTAGTTTGTCCCAGCATTGCTATTCCAAACACTCTAGCTTTAATTACTGGAAGTTTCTGAAGCATTTGATCTGCTGCTCGTCTAGCTGCATAGTGTATATCATAATCTTCTCCCATTGTCATCTCTCCCCTTAGCTTAATAAACACAATTTTAGTCTTGGTATGTATGTTAAAGTCTACATTGTATCGAGCCTTCTCTTGGAAAACACTCCATGCTTTCTTTCCCAATTTATTTATTGGACAATCCTCATCATTACACATACAACAATAATTTTCTGCTCCTTCTTGTCCTTCAACTTTAATACTAATTCTACTCATTTTGTGCAAAAAGGAAAATCAAATTTTATGGTGTAAATTTTCACACTAAATACCTTAGCAAAAAAAAAATTATTAGCAGTCAAGTTGGCTTGGTGATACACTGCTTACAGAGAATATAACTCCTCTTATTTCAGCAAATCTATTATCTCAGCTTGAGGTTCATTCAGTAATTCTTCCCCAATGTCAGTGTAGCTCCTCGTTGGGAAGGTAAATCTTACAGCTTGCTGTGGTGGCTTGAGTACATCATATATTGGTACTGATTCTACCTAAGTAGCAATGGTCTTTTTTATTGTGTATTTGCGCTATCTTCGACAATATTTGTTGACTAAACCTGCAATAATAAGAAAACCAACTAATGAGCTGAGCACTATAGTAATTACCTTATTTTTAAATATTTTATGCTCAGAATTTTCGATTATTTGACTTATTTTTTTATTTTCCTCTAACAAGTTTTCCATTTTAAATTGTCTTGACAATTATTGCACTTTTCTTGAGTTTTCTATGGTCTCTGAAGGTTTTTCTATCTTCATATCAAATGACAATTTCCTATGAATAGCAGTTGGTTTAGTATTATTTTGAAAAGCTTCCCCATATAATAAAGTATCTGCTGAGTTAATTATGTGACAACTATCTACTCCTACTATTCCTGTACCGGCTATATCTATTTTTCTAATCTTTCTTCGATAAGTGCTCATATTCACTTCTCTTCTGTAATACGTAGTGTATATCCACCCCTTGCTGAACACCAGCTTTTGCCATTGTATCTCTTGACTTGAGTTTTTTATTACTTTACAGTTCTCAGTTACTCTCCCTTCCCGCTGAATTCGGATTTGCACCGTGCCCTGTAAAAATTTGGAAGAGAGTGTCTCTTGTGTCCAAGTCCGCGCTTTTCAAGGTGCTGTTCGCGCATCCTTTGAAAGCTTCTAGATTGGCGTTCTCCAATCCAAAGTTTTAATTAATTTAATCACTTAGGCCTAGCCCTAATTTCCTCCAATCATCTACGCAATTTTTCCCTTTTCCTTTTGTTTAGTGTCCGGCGCATTTTTTTGGCTCTAGGACTCTCCTACGCAGGATTTACCGGTGCTTACTGAGCATGCGCCTCAAAGCTCTATGTCCCCCACATGGTTTTTACCTGAGCTGTCATTGCGTACACCTTTTTCCTTGCGTCTCTATTTTTTATTATTGATTTTTTCGTAAGTTTTCATTACCTGCTTACCTTCCTTCTTCTCTGTGTTCCTGATACTTTTACGTCATTTGCTTCTACTGTTTTCTTATCAAAATTTTCATTAATATTGAAAAAAATATAAATCCAGGTTATAACAGAATCTTAGGGAGATTCGATCGTGGAACCCTCGAAACCGTAGATCTGCATCGTCACTATTACACTAACCTAGAAAACTGAAGATACTTTTCTTAATCATCTATTTGTATAACTAAGCCTATTTACTCTTATTACATTATTTCCAAGAATGATCAACTGTTGTCAGATCTGATGACAATTTCTATCAAAATATCAGTGCTCTGCAGTGGTCTGGGTGCAACTCGAAAGGTCCACACGACCAACTTCCCAGTGGAAAAAATGAAAAAACAATTCGAATAGAACCCGTTTCCATTCTTTATAACAAATGGAATTGT